ACACCAAGGAATATCACCTTGAATATGTCCTGTTAACTCATCCATTACCAACGCAAAAATGTAAGGACTTAAGGATGAGCCTTGATGTAATCCTACAGTTATGGGAAAGCTTTCGGTTTGTCCTTCATGAGTTCTTACGGCAGTCTTTGCTCTTTCATACATATCCTGTATAGCTTGGATATATGCTACTCGTACTCCTTTCTTCTCTAAAATCCTCCAAAGAATGTCTCTTGGGACCCTATCATACGCTTTTTCCAAATCTATAAAGACCATGTGTAAATCCTTTTTCCCATCTCTATATCTTTCCATCAATCTTCGTAAGAGATAGATTGCCTCCATGGTTGAGCGCCCTGGCATGAACCCGAATTGGTTGTCCGAAACCCGTGTCTCTTGCCTCAATCTATGCTCAATGACTCTCTCCCAGAGCTTCATTGTATGACTCATTAGCTTAATACCCCTATAGTTCATGCAATTTTGTACATCGTCCTTATTCTTGTAGATAGGCACTAAAGTGCTCATTCGCCACTCATTCGGCATCTTCTTCGTTTTCAAAATCCTATTGAAAAGGTCAGTGAGCCATGTTATACCTGTCTCTTCCAAAACTTTCCACACTTCGATTGGTATATCGTCTGGGCCTACTGCTTTTCTATGCTTCATCTTCTTCAAAGCTACACCCACTTCTTCCTTCCGGATTCTACGATAAAAAGAGTAGTTTCTACACTCTTCTGAGTTACTCAACTCCCCTAAAGAAGCACTCATTTCATGTCCTTCATTGAAAAGATTATGAAAATAACCTTTCCATCTGTCTTTAACCGCGTTCTCTGTAGCAAGAACCTTTCCATCCTCATCCTTGATGCACCTCACTTGGTTTAGGTCCCTTGTCTTCTTTGCCCTTGCTCTAGCTAGTTTATAGATATCCAACTCTCCTTCTTTGGTATCTAGTCGCTTATACATATCGTCATAAGCCGCTAACTTAGCTTCTCTCACAGCTTTCTTCGCCTCTTGCTTCGCTTTTCTATACCTTTCACCATTTTCATCGGTCCTATCCTTGTATAAGGCTTTACAACATTCCTTCTTAGCCTTCACCTTTGCTTGTACCTCCTCATTCCACCACCAAGATTCCTTTTGGTGTGGGGCAAAGCCCTTGGACTCTCCTAATACCTTTTTTGCTACTTTTCGGATACAACTAGCCATGGAATCCCACATTTGGTTAGCTTCCCCCTCTCTATCCCACACATACTGGGTGATTACTTTCTCTTTGAAAATGGCTTGTTTTTCTTCTTTTAGATTCCACCATCTAGTCCTTGGGCACTTCCAAGTCTTGTTCTTTTTTCTCACTCTTTTGATATGTACATCCATCACCAACAAGCGATGTTGATTAGCCACGCTCTCTCCTGGTATAACTTTGCAATCCTTACAAGTTATACGATCCCCTTTCCTCATTAGAAGAAAATCTATTTGTGTTTTTTGACGACCCACTCTTGTAGGTGATTACATGTTCTTCTCTCTTCTTAAAGAAGGTGTTGGCTAAGAAGAGATCATATGCCATTGCAAAATCCAAGATAGCTTCCCCATCCTCGTTTCTCTCCCCAAAACCATGGCCACCATGAAAACCTCCATAGTTGCCTGTCTCCCTGCCCACGTGTCCATTTAAATCTCCTCCTATAAATAACTTCTCCGTCTGAGCAATTCCTTGCACCAAGTCTCCAAGGTCTTCCCAAAATTTCTCCTTCGAACTCGTATCCAACCCTACTTGAGGTGCGTACGCACTAATCACATTGATAAGTTCTTGTCCTATTACAATCTTGATTGCCATGATTCTATCTCCTACCCTCTTGACATCTACAACATCTTTTGTGTCAAGGTCTTGTCCACGATGATGCCAACACCGTTTCTCGTTCTATTTGTGCCCGAATACAATAGTTTAAACCCTGAGTTTTCTAGATCCTTTGCCGTACGACCAACCCACTTAGTTTCTTGTAGGCACATAATATTTATCCTTCTCCTTACCATAACTTCTACTACTTCCATAGATTTTCCCGTCAAGGTTCCTATATTCCACGTTCCTAAACGCATTTTGCTCTCTTGAACTCTACCCTTCTGTCCTAGCTTCTTCACCCTTCCCCGTCTAATAGGATCAAAGTACTTCTTTTGTGTGTCCCGTGTAAAGTTGATAGGAGCATATGCTCCCAAACAACTTTGAGTGGAGTCGTTCGAAAAGAAGTTTCTATAGCCCCCTTGCTCATTTAACACTGCATCCGGGTGCCGATGGAGATACAGCGACCCTTGCTCACTTATCACTGTGCTCAGGCCACACAGCGCGCCACTTACGGGTGACGCCCTAGCTTTAGCGCGATTTCGTTCTGGATTCATTTTCATAAGGATTCGACGTGATCATGGAGTGCCGGCTGTCGACTACCTGACGCCCTCCCCCTCCTCCTTTATCCGGGCTTGGGACCGGCAATGTAAGATAAACTTACACGGCGGAGTTTAAAAAAAAAAAAAAAAAAATGACATGATGGAAATAATTAAATGGAACATTGAACTTTCTAATTTCAATGGTGCTGTACGACCTGAATGGGTAGAAGAATTCCTGATTACTTTGATCATATTTAATCTCGGTTTCCGAGTTTTAGGATCACTGGCCAAGGGCTATTGCAGCTCAGATGAATTATGTTTATGTTTTCTTTTTAGAACTCATAGTCGTGGTGCCTAGTGTTATTATGGGTTGTAGAATGGACTTTTGTACGTATTGTCAGTCCGGCTAAATACACACTCTATCACCAACACAGAGCTTCCAGTCCATGGCGGAATATCACATCATCACTATTGGAACTTCTCGTTTGTGCAAAAAATTGTCCTCATCTTTAACTCGCATCTAAGCCTTTCAGGATCTTCAACTAACATGTAAGTCTTTTCAGGTTTGTAGAGAATGGGAAGGAACTGCCCTCAAAGTGAATAAGGATGTTAGGCTAGCGCTCATTCGCATTGGTGTTGTTCTTGGTAAAGATGGTGGAGCTTTAGGTATGCTCTATACTGTGAAACCTTAATTGCAATGTTTGCTCACTAACTAGACTTGCTAAAATTGACTTTGGTTTGCAATTTTTCTGCTTTATGTTTGATTATACATTGACCAATCTGGTTGCACTGAGGCTTGCATGACCCCGCAATTGTATCAGGCTGTTCTATGCATAATTATCTCTAACTTTCAATTTCTGATGTCATGTTTGAAAAATATACAACAACAAAGCCTTTTCCCACTAAGTGGGATGGGCCATATCAATCCTAGAATGCCATTGTGCTCGGTTCTATGCCATGACTTGCGTTAGATACCAGCAAAAAAACATTTAAAATGGCACTCGATTTTGTTACAAATTGTACATATCTATAACCGTGGTTCGTATGACACTAATAATCTCAGTCTGCCTCACGCATGCTTACACCTTTGAGCGTTTGCAGCTAAAATGATCCCTCTCTTTATGGTGTTTGCTGGAGGACCCTTGGGCTCTGGAAAGCAATGGTATTGTCCTCAATTCTGTCCGATGGGTATCAGTCAATGTTTTACTACTAAGACTTTCCAATTGCCACTTTGAAAGCAAAGATTGCTCTGGTTTAGCTAATCAGACAATATGACATCGTCAGTTAAGTTTCATTTTAGATATTTATGATCAACATCTTGGATAATTGATCCTTTTCAACATCGTGTAGGTTTTCCTGGATTCATCTGGACGACATAGTGAACCTGATATATGAAGCCCTATCCAATCCATCTTATAAAGGTAAAGATTCGTTGCTTATTGCTGATATGAAGTGAAACAAAGAACCAAAGGATTGATATTGGTTTCATCTAAAGTTTGCTGGTACGTGGAGATAACTACACTTGTAAATAGTTCGAATACTCTTTAAGAATTTCAATAAACGAATTAATGATGATATGTGTTCACTCAACAATGTCGTGTGACACTGGTTCTCGAAACTTTTCAACATATTGAACACAGTTTTTACCTAAATCTCAGGAGTTATCAATGGAACTGCACCAAACCCTGTTCGATTTGCAGAAATGTGTGAGCATTTGGGAAATGTCTTGGGCAGGCCCTCATGGCTGCCTGTACCGGACTTTGCCCTGAAAGCAGTCCTTGGAGAAGGTGCTTCTGTGGTAAGAATTTCTTTATTTTCTTTTCAACTCTTTCCTGATTTCATATTGCTGAGATACATAACAAGGTCGTTGCAGGTTCTGGATGGGCAGAGGGTGCTTCCAGTTAGAGCCGAGGAGTTGGGTTTCTCGTTCAAATACTCTTATGTGAGAGATGCATTACGATCCATTATTTCACAAAAGGCGGCCTAATTTGGCGGAGAAAATATCTGTAGTTTTTCATTTTTTAGGCAGTGGGTATCAGAATCTCCAAAACCTACCTGAAAGATGCATCACGATCAGTTATCGTAAAGAAAATGTTGTAACAAGTTGCCAGAGGAAACATCTTTGTTTTTCATTCCTTTAGTTACAAGGTATCCCAGATTATAAGAATCTCAGATTTGAGGAATCAGGTGAAATTTTGGTCCTTGTGGATGCTGTGGATCTCTTGTTTAAGTGGTTAATGTATTATCTGAACACATTTTCAAAGTGTCCTATATAAATTACTCCTAGTTCTTATTTGAGTTAACGCCAATTGAGTAGGCATCATGCCGCGTCAACCTTTTTAGCATTGTTTTGCCTGCTTTGATTTCCTATGCCACTGGAGATGCTTGTGAAAAATAAACGGATCTAATCCTTGGAAGTTCATGGGAAGTGTATTGTTTGTAAGATGCTACCAAACAGGCCCTTGTAGTTTATGACTTTTGAGTCTTAAAGTTGATACCAAACAAACCCCCTCTGTAATCGTCAGTGTATAACGGTAGTTTTTATTTTTTATTTTTGGTCAAACGATAAATTTTGTTAAATTAAACGTTAGATTAGCCATCGACGGTTTTTGTTGCAATGCTGGTGGATTGCAAGGGGAAAATAAAAAATCCAAATGCTGCACAAACTAAAACTGTACTTTTATCCTCAGTTTTGACAAAACCTACTGTTTTATCCAACGGTACAACATCTGAGACCAGCACATAATTTTGTTATATTCACCCAACCCGACGCTGATAAGGTCAGATGTTGTGGGACAACATAAGTTAAAACCAACACATGGTTTGATAATCCGATCCAATCAACCCCTCAGCGAGTACTTTTTCCCAGTAAACGGCTGGAACTTCGGCTCTTCTTTCGCTTCCGGCTGCTGCTCTTTCTTAGTCTCTTTTGCAGCTTCCTGCAGAATTGAATAAATCAAGAGTGATTTACGATCAGCATCACAACAAACTGGCAACGTCGGTAATATAATTCCAAAGTTAGTTGATGGACGTCATGAAACAAGAGAACCAAGAGTACCTTTTGTGTTTCCTTTGGAGTGCGACTGGCATTTGCTCCAAAAACAAGTTTTCCCTGAGCCTGACGACTGGTAGCCTGTGAACTAGATCCCATAGAAGGTTGTGCATTTCCATTGGTGACTGCAGGTTTCTTGTCGTTGGACCCTGAGGAAGAAGCTGGTGCTGGCTCATATTTCAAAGGTTTCCCATCCAAGCGTCTTCCAGATCCGGTAAAAGGGTTAAATTTAGGTTCAGCCTCAGCAGGATCCTCTTCAACTGCAAGAAAAACAGAAACTCGTATAATTTCTTTCTGTTTTCTTTTTGGACAACGGAATACTATTATGTTGAAATACATGCTGTGTTCAAAATTAACAGGACTAAAACTATGTAATTTCTGTGACTTGTAGAAAACCTTAGTCACCATTATATGCAAGAATGTTTATATTTTCCATTCCAGCCGTCAAGCAGAAAATGTAAACATTTTTTCAGTAATTGACAATTTACTGGTTTTCTTTGGTGAAAGTTTTCTACCAATTTCTCGAGTGTCAAAAAGTTGAATGGTATGAGGATTCTGTCAAAAGGCCCAATCCAAAAGGTCTAATCAACAATTTGTTTGTCAACTGTAGCAAACAACGCGCAAGATCTTAAAAATTAACAGGGATGGATGGCCAAGTGGCAGTGAACTTGGTAAAATCTCAGGCATTCACCAAGTCTAGCTTCTTCCTAAATGAATCCCATAGCAGGATATTTCAATCTTTAGCTATGTAGCCTCCAGAAGTATGTTCATCAATGAAAATGTATAATACCTACGACTAACTACACCAGAACAACATGTTCCAACACAAAGCTGACATACATGAGACGAACCAGATAAGCCGACTCAACCTCAGACAAGAGCAAGGACAGAAAATAAATAGTTTTGAGAAAGAAAAGGGCACAATAAGGAAACAATAGGGGAATCCAATCAACCACAGACCGAGAACTTTAATAAACAAATAGAAAAGCCAGAAAAATTGTGCAAGCCATGCTTATGGCCATGAGGAAAGAAATCTGTACCTTGAGCAGTTGCCTTATTTAGACGGCCAGATGCGGCTGGCCTTTCAGGTTCCTTATAGTCAAGCGGAGGTGCAAAGTCTACCTCACAGTCTGTCTCAATAATAGTTATTGCATGAGAAGGCTTCGCATCTATAATATCTATATAGTACTTCTTATTGTTGTATGCTACCATAATACTGTCCCCAGTGGTTAAGCAAGAAAAATTCCTCAGCGTTGTCTCCAAGCTGCATTGCAAACAAGATAATCAACTTCCTTTGCATCAGAACTTTTTTTTTTTTTTTTTTTTTTTTTTTTTTGTACAAACGATATTATCTACAAAGGGGGAGGGGTGGGCTTAGCCTCACAATGGGCCAACAATAATGTGGTTTAAAATCGCCTTTGGCGAGAATCGAACCTAAGACCTCTCACTTACAAGTGAAGAGGAATACCACTAGACCGTAGTACTAAGTAGCCTTTTGCATCAAAACTTTAACAGAAAACTTAAGAAACAAAATCAAGAAATGATCATCACAATAAATAGATGGTTTCATAGAATGAACATGGAAGAGGTACTCAGGATAAAATAGACAGGCCACTCACACAACAGATATAACAAAGAAACCCAATAATTCAACAAGACACATTAACAAGTCAAATACGCATTATCGACTCGTTTGTTGTCCTCAAAGTAACAGATCATATCAATTCATTTCTATATTATAACGGTGATACTATTTACTCTTATAATACTGATCTCGCTTCCTCTTTACAAGAAAACTTTCCCTCCTTTAAGCACACAAATCAAAGAAACAATGGATTAATATCTTAATGTAAAATAAGGATATATTGGAAAAGCAAAAATATTCCTAAATCCCATAGCTAGGTTTCCCCTAAATAATTGAATTAACACAAGTACAACAATCACAGAGAGACATGTTGGAATAAAATACCACACGCAAAATTGATACAGGAAAATAATAAATAATGAATATCGAATAACACCTTAAAAAATCTTCTTTTCCAAGAGAAAGAAATAATGAATATGGAATAACATATGAATCATTTACTTACATAGCTTTTGGATTTGAGATATCTAGAAAGTCCTTTGTATGGGGTTGTAATTTAACATATGTTCCCTTCGGAAGAGTTGCATTTTTCACTCGCACAACATCACCTTCTTGCAAGAGCATATTCTCCATCATCTAAGAAATAAAAACGCCAAAAGGAAACAGCTCAAGTTAAGGATTAGAAAGCCTTTTTGGCTGAAAAATCAACTGCAAAGTAACTTTAACAAGTAAAGCCATGCATATATTAGAAGTTTAGAACACACTGAATTCTTACCCAATAAGGCATATAGATCATGCCTTCTTCTGCAATGAACTCCAGCACCCCACAATGAGAGACCCGTTCAGCGGATTCATTTCGAAGCTCAAACAACATTGGATAATCAATGTGTAAAGATGCTGCATTAATATATCATAGTTGGCGCAAGTAATACAAAATAAATTCATTTGACACAGAAATCTTCATAACCAAGGACTAAAGTAAAACAACTCACCAAGACGGTCAAGGGCTGAGGGAGGCATTATAACTGAAAAATAAGCAAGATAAAAAAAATTACGAATACACAATAAAGGGAAAACCTAACAAAACTAACTTACAAGTTGGAGACTTACTTTTATCACCACTTTCAATTTGTGGCTGAAAATAAAAAGAAAAATTTCATATCAGAATAAAGGAATTGAACGAGTGAGAACAAAGTACTGACAATCACAGGGGAGGGGGAGTTCATCCAGTAGAAAACCAAAGCCCAGTAACCAAGTGTTATAAATTCACACCACAACTACAAAATAATGGATCCAGAACTGCAAAGAAAAATGAAACTTCATCCAAACAGGGGAGAGAAAGAAAAATGTAATGGATGCCTTTAACTAAGGAAAATAATCTATCCTTTAACAGTGCTGAGACATATACATATTTGAAAAAAATGAAGTATTCCAACCTTTTCAATGAAAGATGCAGGATAACATCGATATGTCTGCTCAAACGATGTCCCATGATACCCATATCCATAAAAATCCTGCAACAAGATGGACAAATTTTAATAAAAATTCAGGGTTAATCAAGAATACCAGGTTATAAGACTTTCATGAAATTTGAATGGAGAACAATGCATGAGAACAATCTCTTCAAGTCCCAAAAACCAACCAAAATAAACGGTAGCAGTTAACATACTTTTATTCACAAAAATGAGAAGAAGAAAAAAAGAGAGATGATAATATCTAAATTGGTCTGCAATAAGTTAATAGCAGATGACTAGCATCAGTCTTAAAGAAAAAGAACCCATAACTAGTAACTTCTCGAATCACATGAAAATGCAAAGTAGACAGTAAGCTATGGGTTAAACTCAAAACTACTCAAACAATTACCATCTCAAAAGCTGAAATCCGCATTAGTCATACTGAACCAGGGGTCAAGACTTTAATCACTTAACGTAATACACATAATCGATGGTTGTAAGTAAAGAATGAACTAATATAGTCAATAATATACTCATCAACCCAGAAAACCATCAGCTGCCCATTGGCACCAAGTAATTAAACAGTGAAATATTAAACCTTTTTCTATTCCTTTATATAAATAATGAGATATAGTAAACTAAACCCATACCATATTGAGTGAGTACAGATTTGAACACCGGTTATCAACCTCCGAAAGCTCCCTATCAAAACAAAACAAAAACACTGCTCAATGTACTTACACGAAACCAAATAATCAACTACTGAAATTATCATGAGTTCATAAATTGAAAACAATCAACCCTAACAAGCAACTAATGCCAGCATCAAGGTAATCATATCATTCAAAGGTTCCAATTTTTTCAACTTGTACCAAAATTTCCTTTGTTTTTCTCATTGTACAAAATTCAGGCTACAATGAATGAAATAAGCAATTACATTCATAAAGTTAAGAAATAAATAACCACATATCGTATTCAATTTCTGAAAACTGATAACTAATCAATGACATACTAGAATTGCAGATAACCACTACTCAAAACTCAACCCAATATTTAGCTTAATTCAAAAAAAAAAAAAAAAAAAAGAAGCAAAATTTGAGGTTTTTATTCAAAAGAAAACGACATGGTCAAAACAGAAAAATAGAGAAATTTGAGGGTCTTTTGTTAGGCAGGAAAAAATTGGATGGATCTACAAGTTGTGAAATTAGATTGTGAATTGGAAAACTAAAGGCGAAACAAAACGGTAAATAATTTGAAATTTAGGGTTGAGAATTCTGATACCGTCAAACGTAGAGAGGAGGAGGAGCAGATGAAGAAGTCAGTGTCCGTCTGTCTGGTTGCGTTTTGATCTCTGTCGGGAAGAGGTAGGACGATTGAGTGCGTTTTGTGCACGCTACAATTATTGGGTGGCAGCCCAAGTCCAAATGTCCTTTGGGCCATGCAACTTTTAGCTCATCTGCCACCAACTCCATGCTTCTGTTCTTTTGTTCCCGCCTTGTGTCGGTTTCTAGTTATTGGACCACAACTCAATCCCAATTCAAATTTGGATATCATTGGGCTATGTAATATGGGCCCTTTTCCCCTCCAGTCTTCCCGCGTATCTGAGTGGAGAGTTGTTAGGCCATCTCCAATCGAATGGGCTAAACATAGTCCAGTCCAGAATTATTTTAAATGAATAACGGCATGCTGTATTTATATAACATCTCCAATCAAATGGGTAAAAACATAGCTCATCAGTAATTTATTATTTTTAAGTTTGTTCTAAAACTTTATTGGTTAATTGAATTATATTAGACAAAGGTTATCCGGACATACTTAAGTGTCACTTGTCTCTAAATGAATAAGTCTCCAGATTTCTTATTTTTATATAATCTCAATCATTTTTTGGATAGAATTTTCAAGTGATACATGTTGCCAGCGTTCTAAAAATGGGCCTAGACGGCTGCCTAGGCCCTAGACGAAGAACGACTACCATGATTAACTTGTAATCGATTGTAAAATTGGAAAACGTATTAGGGGAACACTTGGCAGGATTAGGTGGGTCTGGAGAGGATGAGTTCTTTTGGTCCCACCATCCCTATTTGGGTTACACGCAATGCACAGTTTCCTAATCTCACTATTTTATGTTTTTTTTTTCTCACCTAAATCAATCATCTGTTTTTTTATCCATTTTTTAAAATTTTTTTTTATCTCTTTTACCTTTTTAAGACCACATATATTATAGTGAGGATCCTTGTCGAATCCTCTTTGTGAGGATCTAGTGAGGATCCTCTCTCCTTATATTAAATACCCTCCTCACATGATATGTATACTATTTTAAAAGAAAAACATATAATTTTATATTATAAAGAAAATTTAATCAATTTTATATCAAATTTACTTAAATCCACCTAGTCAACATAGGTGCTAAGCTCAGCCTCGTTGCCCGACTAGCAGCTAGTTTTTTTTAGAACCTTGTGTGTTACTAAATGAGTAACTCTCCATATTTCTTATCTTTATGTTCTCTTAATAATTTTTCGAATAGGATTTTCGAGTGACACCTATCCAGGCGTAACTGATTATGCAAATCATATAGGTTTCTCATCTACATGTCACTTCTTATGACACACCCTGACCCGGAATGTCCACTAGGACTCCGAATTGAGCTGTGCTGGCCGACACCTGGAAGGTGACGAAGCCATAAGTGCAGTTATATGGAAAATGTGAGTAATTTAAACCTAAAAGTGCCTAAATATCAGAGTGCGCTGGTGAGCGGGTATGCACCATTTTCACACGTGTCGTCAAAGCATAAGTAAAGTACAATAGTGTGGGTAAAGATCATACCCTTAGAGGTAGCCACTTATGCTGAGATTCACCAATAATCCTCGTCGATACGAACTTCCAGCAGCTAAAACCTGGAGGGCGCAAAACAGAAAATGTGAGTGGGCAAAAACAAAACTTTTCAAAACCATTTCTCCTTCCAAAAGTAATAACCCATCGCGGTAAAACTCGTATAATTTCCCATAAAATAAAATACTTACATACATCGAAACCATACTCTAAATACCAAAATCCACATGTATGCCATGTCAAATATCTCAGCATAATGAATAAGTAAGCCAGGTGAAGTAAATCAATGAAAAGTGATATGTCAGCCGGATCCACCTATTGTGGCCTGTACGGCTGAACCTATAGCTCATCAAGTATGCTTGCACACGAGTCGGAACCACCTAATGTGGTCTGTACGACATGGCTAGGTGGAATAAGTACACTCAAGTGCTACGATCACGTGAAGGTTGTGCGATAAATCGCGGGTCACCTACGAGTCGAAACCACTTATTGTCGTCTGTACGATAGGGCTATGCACCAAACTTGGATCCAAGGTGAGCGTGCGATGCGGGAGGTGAATATCACGTGAAGGACTATGCCTTGGCCACAGGCGGGAGCACTAACATCAGGGTGCAGGTTAATGAGCTCTAAATGCATCTATGCAAAACCATCATAACACAACTCACAATCAATAACACATATACTCACCTGGAACTTACATGAGTGTCCGCAACGTCAAATACTAACATACATAACTACTAATGCATATTCTAAAATATAAAGCATTTGACATGGCATCTAAAACGCAAAATCATTCAAATCAATTTTTCTGGGAAAAATGTAATGCATATATACATATATTAAAAACCAAAAGCCCACTCACCTAGATTCTGCGCTACACTCCCTAGCACACACATTGAGGCGTCACGAACGATTGGTGCCTAGAACAATTATCAAATCATGTCTCAGAAATCTTATCGATAGAATATGTAACTTACATAAAACACATCCCTACGTAATTCGATCGGGAAGATCTGCATATCAGATTTCCAATCTGTAACTTCCAAAGATCCACATTATGTTTCTAGAATAATATACTAAAGTTTCAGAACGATCCAACGGTCGGATCTCTGCCAATTGCCAAAACCAATTGGCGGTTAACGTTTTATTTTATGAACTTACAAATCCAATTCAGGAAGATCCGTATGTCGGATTCCCAATCCGTAAGTTCCTACATTCCTTAAATATTACAAATAATAACCTATTAAAGTTTGATGACGATCCAACAGGTGGATCATCGATTTATATAATGACCTATCAACGTATCGTAAAGATTTTAGGTTCCAACGATCAACCTACGTCAAATGATTATTAGAACTGAACTCAAGGCATCTAATTTAACCTAAAAATAGAATTAATGGCCCACTGGCCACGTGCCGCCGTGGATGGTGGTCGGCCGCCCCGACTCGTCAGAAATCCAACTATTTCAAAAAATTACCAAAATTTATAGAAATGAAGATCTCAATGAGTAGAGCAAGTTTTATATCTGTAGCCAAGTCCAATTTGGCCAGGAAGTGCTCCAATTCGTCTCGAATCCGTCGGAACCCTAATATGGGTGTTCTTCGAATCACTGCCAAATCGAACCCCACCGCCCCAACAAATGATTGGGCATGATTCCTGGGTTCTAGGGAAGTATCTTGGTGGGTTTGATCGACGGCGATGGCTGCACAAACGGTGAATCACCACCGTGACCCCCACTAACTCACCCTCGGGAGTCCCTCACTGTTTCAAGGCTAAATTCACTCAAATTTGAGGTGGAACTTGAAGAAGGAAGGTCGCTGACTTGTTTTTGGGTAGTGGTGACGATTGTTTCGTCAGGAAAAATTTCGGAATCGACGTTGGGGTGCATGGAACATGGGTTGGGTTGAAGGGAAGAAAACGGGTCGTAGGAAATCCGGTATTGCTCATCTCCTTTCCCGTTTCCTCCTTTCTCATTTTTTGATTGGACAGAGCCCATTTCACTCACTCACGGCCTTCCATGTGGCATCACAGGATTATCTGGAGAAATCCAGATCATGATCAAATGACAATTTCATCCCTACCTTTACTCGTTTATAACTTATTCGTTATAACTTCAATTTTGATTCCGCTTGTGCCCACGAGTTCGTAATGACGAGTACTTCGAGAATACCTTAGCGGAATGAGTCTTATATCTCTTAACCATGGCCACCGTACGTCAAAATCTTTGCCTCTAAGGGCATTTTTGTAAAATCACTATTTTTAAAATTTGTAAAAACGTAAAATCAGGGATGGGTCGTCACATCTTATCTTCACATTCCAATGTTAATAATTTGGATTACACCAAAAGGTTTGTGAGTTTTATGTATTTAATTCTATAAATTATATTGCAAAATAATGAGTATGCGCAACAAACGTGTTAACATTTTTGCTCTTCTATCTAAAGAAAAGAAAAAGATATAAGAAAGGAAACTTTAACACAAAAGAAGAAAAAGGTTGAACAAGAAAGCGGGAACATAAAAAGCTAGCATCTAAAGAAATAAATAAATGGGAAATTGACAAAAATGACCCATTTTTTTAATCTTGGGACAAAAATAGGACTTTTCGAATTTGTAAATGGCACACACCATGCACAACAATATGACAGAAACAAGATTTTTCGTACACCTTAAATGACTTAATTGCCCTCGTACATAAATAGGTTATTTCCTTCCATTTTTTTATTTCTCTCTCTCTACTCTATCTCCCTCTCCCCCTCTCTCTCTCTCTCTCTCTAAAATTGATATTGATTGGCTGTTCTTAGATTATTGAAAGATAATGGAAAACCCAATTGAAAGATTTGATTTTGATTATATATGCTTTGGCTGGAACTGATAGTTTTCCAATAGAACTTTGTTGAAACTTGTATGAATGCAAAAATAAAAAATAAAAAAAGGGTCCATTTAATGATTTATTTGGAGAATGTTTGTGTTTGCTGATTGGCCTTTTTGGGAAATGAACACATTCCTGTGCTTGCAGTTGTAGATTGCAAATTGAGGATTTCTTCCTCAAATCATCATCTTATTCCCCAAATTCGAAATCTCATTCAAAACCCATATGGGTCAAAACCAATCTGTAATCCAAAAACTTTCAGATGTCGAAGAAAACCCATTATAAAAAACTAAAGACACCATTTTTTTCTGCTACAATCTCTCTGTCTTGCCGCCGACGAACACCTTCTCCCTCTAAGTTCGAAGAAAATCCTAAATTTGTTATCTGCATCAATATGTGCAACGACGTCGGTTTTGTTATGGATGTGCATCGTGCAATTAACAGCGTTGATGGATATGTGGGGGACTAGATTCTAGAAATCACTTAAAGATATGTAGTTTACAAATCTTTGACCTTAACCTCGATTTTGGAAATCCCATTAAAAATCATCTATTCCCAGTGACATGCACACAACATGCAAATGACATGCACATGATATACTCACAGATCTAAGCCAACCCAAAAATCGAGAGCTCACAGCTCCCTCTTTGAAATTAGAAAAATGACGTCATCACCTATGATGTCACCACCATATACACCACATGGACACCACATGCACATCATATG